TGTGTATGTGTATGTATGTATACGTATATGTGTGTATGTGTATGTATATGTGTGTATGTGTGTATGTGTATATGTGTATGTGTATATGTATGTGTGTATGTGTATATATATACATATATCCTTCTTATATATATATTCTTCTTGTTTCTTTTTGTTTGTCTGTTTTAATTTTGTTTAAAAAAAATATGAGTAGATGAACTTAAATCTATAAAATGTTCAGAATCTTTTTTTAATTCAAAATATCTTTTGTATATTTAAATATATGTTATGAAGTTTATTGGATATGTATACGCAAATGTACGGATTTGTTAGTTATTTTTTCAAAATTTTTTCTTTTTCATTATTTTCAAACTTTTTAGTTTTGTCAAACTTAAAAATTATTTTTTCAACTTTTTGATTTTTTCAAACTTTTAATTTGTTTTTTTTTTAAACTTTTTTTAATTTCACTCTTTTATATATTATTGGAAATTGTAAAGTTTTTTTTATTTTTTATTTTTTTTTATTTTCACGAAGGGGCTTGATGATAAGACATTTTGTCTTCTACTTGCCCCAGTCAGCTTGCATATGTATAAATTTATTTGAATGTAAGGTTAACATTGTAAAATGTGTCAAATGACGAAAAATAAAAATTAAAAAAAAAAAAAAAAAAAAAAGTATACAACTACATGATGTAGTTGTATACTATAGTCATAAACATCTCATGTTTTAAACATCTCAGTTGTATACTATAGTCATAAACATAGCAAAAATGATATTATATGCAACGATGTAGTACATCGTTGCATATAATATCATTTTTGCTAATCTAAAACAAATCATTTATAAATAAGACAAGCAAATCATTTATAAATAAAACAAACAATAGTGGTCCCAGGATAGATCCCTGAAGTACTCCACTTATTAAAAAAAACTCTTTAAAATATTTATTATCAATAAAAACCTTTTGATTTTCTTTCAAAAGGATAGCTAGCAAACTATTCATACTCTTTATCTGATATTCCATATGATTTCATTTCATTAAGAAGAAGATCATGGCTTATTGTGTTCACGGCTGTTTCAGAGTCTACATACGGCTTCTTGTTATTTTTTGAAAATAATTATTTAGGGGGTGTTACTAAAACTTTCATAACTTTTGAAATATTAAAGATAAATACGTTCTGTAAAAAGAATATGAACACCGACTAAATGTTTTATATTTTATTATTCAATATAATAATGCAAAGCTGATCTGATTTTTAAATAAACACGCAAAATGACGAACTTGGCAGAATTTCGAAATTTAAATGGAACTTTTTAGCAAAAATAATCAGAAAAATTATGTTTCTGTTGACTAATATGTAAAATAAACATAGTTAGACCAATTATAAAACATATTAACATTATTTACACCGAATACGAACTGATACAGGATACAACTTGTCTGATGTTTGTAGATTAGCCACGAGAGAAAAAACCCGCCAAAGTTTGTTTTATTTATACACTAAAACTTGACTCGCTAAAGAAGCTGTAATAAATTACATAGTTATAATATATAAATTACATAAATCTCTTGATAATCCCGATAACTATCACGGAATTAGTATCGTGCCAATTCTGACAAAGCTCTTTGAATATATTATTATGGAAAAATGTCCGGAAATATCAGACAGCCACTCTCACCAATTTGGCTTCAAACATAATAGCTCTACTCTTCATGCAGAGTTTCTTTTAAGTGAAACAATAAAACATTACAATAACAATAATTCATCAATATATATTTGTAGTTTAGATGCAAATAAGGCTTTCGATAGCTGTAACTGGGAATTGTTGTTTGAAAAACTTTATTACAACAAAAAATTACCACTATCAGTAGTTCGCGCACTACAATCACTATACCTCTCGGGTACTGCTAGTATATCATACCTTGGGCATAAATCAAATCATTTCCGTTTGTCTCAAGGCGTGCGACAAGGATCCATTTTATCACCACATTTATATAATTTATACACTCAAAGTATATTAAATTAAATTGTTTCAGATTGCAAAGTTGGAACAACGATAAGTTGGGTGTACACCGGTATTAAAGCTTATGCAGACGATATAATCCTACTAAGTCCTACTCTTTCTGGTTTACAAGAGTTGGTTAATAAAGTTCAGTCACAGTGCCAAAACCTATATATTAAACTAAACACTGAAAAAACCGAATTTATTATATCCGGTAAAAGCTCAATTACAAAAAATTCAATTCAAATAAACGGCTTTTCCATACACCTCAAGAATAAACTGAAACACCTCGGATTCCTATGGGATAATCAAAATAATACAAAAAATATAGCAACACTTCAAACATTAAATGTAAACGAACTTATTATTCAGTTTCAATCAATATCCAGAGCTCTTATAAAATCGGGTATTCGTTTTTGTCAACCATTAACCATAGTACACTTGTTTAAATCACTGTACCGAATTACACTTGTTCAAATCGCTGTACCGAATTTATCATAAGGGTTAGAAATTTGTTGTTATAATAATTCACTTCTTAATAAACTAGACGCTGTTGGAAGGTTTTAGTTAGAAGTACTTTTTTTGATTTTCATGTGCATAGAAGGTTGAAATTTCAATAATTTGGTGGGCATAACGAATCTTGAACGTTTTTCATATAAAATAAGTAAAAACAAAAATAATAATGTTAAAAAAACTAACATAAACTATTTTTTTATCTATGCCCACCAAAAATCTGATAAAATAGACATTCGTTGATAAGTATCTAAAATTTCAACCATCAAGCATGTAGCTTAAAATATCTAATCTTGATTGGCCCAAGACAGGTTTTTCGTAAAATACGCAAAAAACAGAAAAGTGACCCAAATCATTAGCAATATTTTTACAATTTTTATTTTTATTCCGTTTAATGAAAATATTTGTTTAACAAGGAAAGATAGATGTGTCATCTTTTTTTCTTAGAATAAAAAAGTATTTATAGAAAAAAAAACTATTACTTTAAAGTTATTGAATTTTTATAATTTAAATGCCGAAATTTTTAAAAAACTTTTTTTGCTTAACTCGTGACGTAATGCCCAATTTTACATTACGTGAACAGCCGTGAGAATGCAATAATCAGTTTTTTGTTTATATATATATATATATATATATATATATATATATATATATATATATATATATATATATATATATATATATATATATATATATATATATATATATATATATATATATATATATATATATATATATATATATATATATATATATATATATATATATATATATATATATATATATATATATATATATATATATATATATATATATATATATATATATATATATATATATATATATATATATATATATATATTTATATATATATATATATATATATATATATATATATATATATATATATATATATATATATATATATATATATATATATATATATATATATATATATATATATATATATATATATATATATATATATATATATATATATATATATATATATATATATATATATATATATATATACGGATTGAGGTTTAGTGTTGCAAGGGGGCCAAGTCAATGAATAGGGGCGACCGGGGTTGTCTTCAGTAATTTAATCTTATAATTTTTAATTTTTTGTGTGATTATTTTAGGGGGCGTCGTTAGACCGTTCTAAGGGGGCGTGGGGAAGGCAGCTTGCCCCCCTACGCCTTATACCAAATCTGCCACTGTATATATATATATAATATATATATATATATATATATATATATATATATATATATATATATATATATATATTATATATATATATATATATATATATATATATATATATATATATATATATATATATATATACATATATGTATATATATATATATATATTCACAGGCCTCGGCAGGAAACGAGAGCTTTAGCACTTTGGGGAGACACTCGCACACATGCACATGCACATCTCTTCCTTAAAATGCCTCTCTCTATATATGTATATCAAATATTTATTTTAATATTGTTAATTTACATGCAAACATGTAGGTATGTTTAGCCAAGAGGTCAATGCAAGTGAAATCTGCGTCAGAGACCAGAGATCACAGTTTACTCATAATTTAATTTTTATTTTTAAAAATAAATTGTTTTAATGACGAATTAAACAAAAATAAACTTTACTTAAAGCGGATGTTTTTTTCAGGCACCTCTCTTTAAAAATTCGTGAAAGACAAGTCTTGCTCGAGATCAGTCATATTGAAAACAAGCTTAAAATCCAGAGCCAGGGCAAGGCTACCCCACAACCCCACAATTAGGGGGGGGGATCCAGCCAATTTAAGGGTTCTTTTGGATATTTAGGAGCTTTTTTTTTTAGCAATACCTAGCAGTAAATTTTTTAAGATTTAGGGATCCTAATGACATGTTTTTAGTGGAACATCCGACTTCAACAACCACATCACTGTTAAAACCTTTTTTTTATGGACTCAAAAAAGAGGGTTGTCTTGTGTATGCATAGAGGGGCACTATACCCTTGACTTCCCTCTACTATACATTCTATTATGTTGATAAACTAGGATCTTTAGTCGGAATATTTTTATTTATTAGCTGGTGAATTATGGAAAACAATGAAACAGCATGGTTTTTTTTTTATTTTTTTTTTAAAGTTGTTATTTATTCAAAAATATTTAGTTATTAACAAGTTCTTGTTAATTGTGATAATTTAGAAAATTGAATTAAGATTTAAGAAGTAAGATTTTCATCTTTAAAAAAAGTTAACAAAATATTTAACTGAGTTTATACTTTTAAATTTTTGTTTTACTAAAAATCAATAAATACTTTTTTTTAATAGTTAAGAATATTATTATTAAATACATTCAATTTTGTAAATATTTTTAAAACAAAGTAAATTTTTTTTTAATTTATTAACAATGCTTAAATTATTTTTGGTTTTTAAAATTATTTTAATGATTATTGACTTTTTTAGTTTACTTTCTATAAATTTATTTTAATTTACTTTATTACAGGCAGCTTTTTTAATTCCAATTATTGCAAAAGTTCTATCAAAACCTAAAGATGCACAGGTTTTATCAAAACCTACAACTGAAAAACCTTATGCTCTAATACTTACACCAACACGAGAACTTGCAATTCAAATACATCGAGATGCTGTGCTGTTGACAAAAAAAACTCACATAAAATGCTGTTGTGCTTATGGTGGGAAATATTTTAGTGAAAATATCATTGAAATAAGTGCTGGGTGTGATCTGTTAATTGCAACTCCTGGTAGAATACTACATCTTTGTAGATCTATAAAAGTATGATCTTGTTTATTTTCCTTCAATAAATTCAGATTATTTTTGATCAAAAAAAAAATCACTATAAAAATTATTATGACAATTGAGTTATTCAAAGTTGGTAAGACAATATAAATGTTGCAAACTAGTTTTTTATACTAACATGCTCAACATATCATTTCAAAAACTAAGTTTACAACATGTAATCAACAAGTTTGCAACATGATGTTGCAACCTTGTAAACTATTGTCAATCAGGATGACTGTAAACACTTTTTAAACATCTTTGCATCATAGAAGAAAACTGTTACATTTTACATCACTACATTTTTTTTAACAGAACATTATACTGTCCAGCTTCCTGGAAAAGTTATCAGCCTGATCAACATTATGCAGTAGCTATCTTTATTTTCTTACTTTATATGATCATATTAGTATTTTTTAAATTAGTAAGATTACCTTCCATCTGTAAGCCAAGTTTTTGGGCTTCCATCATCAATCAACAATCTTCATAAGAATAATCAGAAACAGGGAGTTTAGAACTAACATGGATATTTAGAACTTAAATAATGTAACCAATATTTAAAATATTTCTTTATACAAAATTACATAAAATAATTTTGCAATTATTTAATTATTTAATTATTTAAGATTAGAGAGTAACGATCTGACTTCATAATGTTTTATTTTTTAAATTATGGAGAGATTTGTTTTGCAAATGGGTATGTGCCTAAGCTTTGATTGTTCTTGAAATATCTAAAATGAATTTGTTAATAACCATTACAGTGTCTTCACCACCAGATTCTTTTTTTTTACTTAAAGATGTTTTACCAGCTCAGTTTTGCAACTCAATCAAAGTAACACAATATATAGCTCTATTGCGTGTGTTTCTTCACCTTTTAGCAAACTTGGTACTGATGTTCATTTTCAACCCGCTGTTCATAATGACCCCTGTTGACGGTACATGTTGTAAACTTGTAGCTGATGCAAAATATTCAAAACCTGTAAAATAGACAGATGAGCATGAGTATCATTTTTACCAACAAATCTTGTCCTTGTAAACAGTATACAAGTTTTCAACATGTTCTTTCATTGAATGAAACTTCTTTGCACATAACATAATTTTTTTTATGTTATAAAATTGTATGCACTTAATAAGGACAAATCTAGTAAACTGTAGCATTTTTTTTTTTTTTGCCTGACAATTTTCCATTTCTAGACTGTGAATAAAGTTTAACAATATTTATATATAGTATTTTGCTTGTGGATTTGTACTGAAATTCACATTTTACAACATAAGCTTTAAAAGATAAAAGATCAAATACCAATACAAAATGACATCTATAAAACGCTTGTTTGGAAATATAAACATTCGAGAGGAGAATAAAGATACTAAATAACTAGTAATGTCTTGTACTTTGAAATTTAGTTAATAGAATAATTTTTATTTCCTTTATAAGTATTTAACTAGTTTAATGTTTTAATACATATTTCAATAATATTTATAATAACTTGCTATATGTTTTAAAAACAATAATAGCTAACCAACTTGCTACAAAAACAGATTGATTGGTTTTAGATATATTCTAAATACCAATTTGTGCAAGTGTTACAATACAGTGTTTACAAAAGTAATTACAGCATAAAAGTTGCTGATAATTAAGCATTTATAAGTGTTAAAATCAGAGTTATTAGTTGTAGAGTAGGACATTTGAAAAAAAACCAAATATATTTTGGGTTTTTTTGGGTTTTATTGGGTTTTTTAGAGGTGGGTTTTTTTATGTTTTTTTGGATTGGGTTTTTTTGCGAACCCTGCCCTCCAATAGTTTGGTTAAAGTTTCGTCCTTATCTTTTGTAATTTTCTTGCATAAACGCAGCACTAAAAATAAGAAGTTTTTCTTTTCTCAACTCAGTGAGAACCTGTCTCTTACTAATTCTACTAACAGTTTACATCAACTCATAAATTTTAAAAATAACTAATAAAACCCGCCTAAACATACTATAATTACACCTAAACATTTCAAAAATATTTTTAATAATTATAAATTAAATACTTAATTTAGTTACACTTAATTTACTTACACTTAATTACAATCTGTTTGAATATTTTTTGATGAGATCAAAGAATATTCTAGCATTTTATGTAATTCAATCAAATTCCTTTATGGCTCTTAAAGGTCATACAAATAGTAATCAATATATTTATTACACATAAATTGCTCTGGATCACTTCATTTCAATGGCACGCCTATTTTATTCATAATGTAGTATATTTAAGTATATAACCAATTAATTATAAAGTAAATATACTATTGATTTCAAAGAATTTAAGCTAAAGTGTTGACTTTCTATTTTATTCATTTTTGTTTCTACTTATAGGCGTTTCTATTTTAATTTGTTTTTTTTTTAATTTTATCTTTTTGTTTCTTCTATAGACATTTCTATTTTGTTCATTTTTGACAAATAAAATTATTTAAAACTAGTTATTTGCCATTATTCACGTAAATTTATATAAATAACAAGTAAATTGTAAATGATATTTTCAATATTTTGAAATTTTTTACTAAAAAAGTATTTAAAAATCCATTTTTTCATAATGTTTGTTGACATCTTTTCAGCTTTTTATTTTTACTTATTTCATGTTTTTTACTTCTGTTAAAAATATGTTAAAAAACCTTTTCTAAATTAAAACTCAATATATTAGTCAAATGCATCATTTTCACTTTGTCGTCAGTTGTTATAAATGCTCAATTAAATTAACAAATACAAGAACTATAATCAGTTGTAACAACTATAAAATATATGTCCATCAAAATAACAACAAGTACACGTTTCTTCGATCGTCACTCTCGGACTGTATCGAAATAAACGTTGACATGTTGCACATATTTTGCCTGAAACCGGATTACAACAATACTCTGCTCATAAATCATTCATACTTTTCTAAATATGCTGGTTTATGACAGGTTCGATCTGACTTTTGGCTCTTTGTAGAAATGGGCTCAGAAAACAACTCACGTTATTCACAAGATCTCTCGGGACCAACGTTTTTACTTTCAAACTATTCACATATTCTGTTGGGACCAATATCATTGTTAATCGGTTCGCATTCAACATACATGTTATCACTTGGAACTGATGTTTCAGTTGTTTCAGGTATTTGATTGCTTAACAAAGGACTATTCATGCCATCTGCAGTTTTAACTAAAGGTTTAATGCCACCTTTCACATGACGTTTTACAATCTGATCTATATGTCTAATCTGGATATGACCATTTAATGTCAACACTTTATAGTTAGCATTTCCAACTGTTGATACAATAATAGTTGAGACCCACTTCTCACCCCTGATATAAATCCTTACATAAACAAGGTCTCCAGGTTTTGACTTTTATTACTAAAATTACCTGGAAGCTGTTTTTCGATGATTTTGTTGATGGCCTCAGAAAGTAGCATCGACAATATATTTCTTAATCTTCTACCTAATAAAAGTTCAGCTGGAGAAACTGCAGTTGTAGAATGTGGTGTTTAGCGATATTTAAAAAAGAAGCGACACAATTGCACCTCAACATCACTCCTTTAAAAAGTTTTTAAAGAGTTCTTAAACGTTTTAATCATTTGACCAGCATGCAGTTATGCCTCTTCACCCTTTCATAAACTTTTTTTAAGCTTCAGATGAAAATTTTACAGTTCTTTCCACCGATTGGCTTCAGATGTCAATTTTACAGTTCTTTCCACTGATTGGCAGATCAGTGAGAGAAATTTTTCTAGCAGTTTGAATAATTTGTTGTAACTTACATGAGGTAATAAAAATGAAGTAAGATATTTAAGTTGTAATAAAGCAACATGTTCATACATAAAAAATTTCAAATATTTGTTTACCAGTTGAGCTTTTATAGTTTTTAGGATCCTTTATTTTTCTATTTCTGATATAACATGACAAAGTGGTAACTCACCATGGTGAAGTAAACAATCCACTATATAAATGCTATGTTTCAAAATCTTTTCTAATCAGGCAACTAAACCATTGTTAACAGCAGTGTTGGAACTTCTATTATCAAGAGCAATTGCCTCTAAGCATTCAATAGTGTCATATTCAGTAAGAAACTTTAGTGTTGCTGAAGCCATACTGTTTACTGTACTATTTTCTGTTTCAACATGTGCCAGATATTTTCCAGAAAGAAGTCTGCCTTAATAAGTAAAATTGATGGGATGTTCATCTTGAGTTGTTCTATACAATACTTATTGTATTTTATCACATAGACTTACAAATTTTTGTCATTCTTGACATTCACACCAATTAATTTTAGCTATGAAACCTATGGACAATGTTTTGCTATAATTGAACTAGCCACTTGCTTTTTAACAAAACAGCTTATATTCTGTTATTATCTGAGATTTGTTATTCTTAGTTACTACTCTATTATCAATTAAAGAAGCTGTTGCTATTGCAGCTGTAGTAGCATCATTAATCTAAAATCTTATTGCAGCCTTAGCTGAATTAGTAATCATTCTCATTATCATCATCATCATCATCATCATCATCATCATCATCATCATCATCATCATCATCATCGTCATTATCATCGTCATTATCATCCCTTGCCCTTGCCAACACTACCAAGTAACAGCCAGCCTGGAACCTATGTAATAAAATGCAACTGCTCCAAAGTTTACATAAGTGAAACAAAAATGCAGGTAAATACGTGGATGCATCAACATCAGAAGAGCATTAATGAAAACAGCCCTTGTTATATATATATATATATATATATATATATATATATATATATATATATATATATATATATATATATATATATATATATATATATATATATATATATATATATATATATATATATATATATATATATATATATATCTGTGTGTGTGTGTGTGTGTGTGTAAGTTAGCCCTTGTTTCACTGCTATACCTCATAACATTCTGGACATATGTGCTGAAGAACTTTCCTTTCATCATTAAAGAAGCAACTCTTGCTGTTAAAAGTTAAGATAATTCTCCAAACTTGGCCCAAGCAGACCTTAAAATTAGGGTCAGCTTGGGTAAAGTGGGTAGCTGGGGTAAAATGGGTAGAGCAGTTTATTAATTTTGTTACAAATACACTATTAATGTATTGAAATAAGTTTTATTTTTTTATGATGTTGAAATAATTTTTATTAAAAAAATTGTTGGGAATATTTGTTACTGCGCTGCTTCTCTACAGGGTGTACCGTCATTTTGGTTTTGGTTTCTATGTGCTTTCACCAACAGGTAAAACTTTGTTGTAAAAAATGATGTATTTAACATACACAGTCACAAGTTACAGATTTATAAGCAAGAGAAATCCTCTTTTTAGTTAATAGTAACAGGAATGTGAAAAACCAAACAATTTTAAATATTAGTTGAAAAACCCGAATGGGGAAAAATGGGTATAACAAGATAAGCTAATGCCACAGTCACAGTGATATTTAGCAGGATTTATTATGTAATATGAATTATATGCAGAAATGAATATACATTAATTCATTTGTTCTGTTTTATTGCAGGTCTTCAACAGTTGCTGATTTGATTTAAAATGCCAAAGAATTATATCCAAAAAATACAATCCAATTATACAAAGGAGGACTTCAAAAATGCAAGACTTATCATTGAACAAGGAAGTTCAGTTTACAAAATTTCAAGGGAAAATAAATTTCTATATGAAACTTTAAGGAGATGGGTAGTTCAAACTCCAAAGTAAGTTGGTTCTGGAAAATTCATACCGCTGATGAGGAATGCTTAATTGTTTGCACACTGTGCTATTTAGCTGATAGTGTATTGCCATAGGATTGTTCTGACTTTCAAAGACAACTGCCCTAGTGAAGACTGGATTACTGGGTTTGGAAAGAGATGGAAAATGAAAATTTCAAAACGAAAGCCTGAGCTTTTAACCAAAGCAAGGGGAAAAGGGCTGACAGAAAGTGTTGTCAATGCCTTTTTTCAAATGTATGAAAATGTATTAGTTAAAAATAATCTTCTTTGCAAACCACACAGGATTTTTAATCTTGATGAAGCTGGTTTAGGGACAAGCCCTATTGCTTCTAAAGTGTTTGTGCCAGTTTCATCACATACTGCTTATCTGAAATCAGCATGTAAAGGAAAAGCAAGTTACAGTGTTCTTTTCTGTGTATCTGCCTCCATTTATTTTGTACAAAGGGCTAAATCTGTATAAGTCATTGACGCAAGGTGGACCTCCAGGTACTTGTTATGCAAGAACAAAGTCAGGATGGATGGAAGACACAGTTTTTGAGTCATGGTTTAAACATTTCATTAAAAGCGTTGAACATATTGAGAAACCTGTACTGCTCATTTATGATGACCATGGCAGTCATCTAACTTATGAAACAGTGAAGTCTGCAATGGTAAACAATATCATAATACTATGCTTGCCACCTAACACAAGTCATGCTCTTCAGCCTCTGGACGTTGGGGTCTTTAGACCATTAAAGCTTGCGTGGAAGGACATTCTGAAGAGATGGTTTAGAGAGAGTTGTCTCTAGAAAGTAAGTAAGGATGTTTTTCCTTGCCTAGTAAAGCAACTCTATTACCAATTAACAGAGAAAAATGTAGTAAATGCATTCAGAGGTAGAGGGCTCTATCGATTGAACAAAGAAGCAGTTTGACATAGGATTGATTCAGCTGTCAAGCCAGTGGAAAGCAATCAACAGCCAATGGTTTCAGCTTCAAACTTTATGGAGTCAGAAGCACACAGACCTATACTTCAAGTTCAACCAAGTGTTTCACTTTTAGAGACTCTGGACACTAATAGCAACACATCTACTGAATCTCCCTTTAAAGTGCTGCAGTGGGCAATTTTGAAAACACTTTCACAGGTTTTTAAAATGCAAAGCCAATCTAGGAAGCCTAACCGAAAAACAAAAGAAATAATGACTGAAGAGATTGAGAAAGTCCCTGAAGAAAAGGACAATTTTAATTTAATTGTTGGGGATTGGGTGCTGGTAAAGTATGCTGGTAAAAAAATTACCATGAGTTCTACAGACATATGATTAAAACCCCCAGATGAAGGCCTGTACTCTGTGAAGTTTCTGACAAAGTCACCATTAGGGCCAATCTATGTTTTTCCTGAGAAGGATGACATTGTGGATAACAACATCTTAAAGAAATTGCTACAGCCTTCCTGCAATAGTTGTGAACAATACAAATTACAAATATACATATGTGCAGTATAAATGTACACTTTCCACACACATTTTGATCACAAAAAGTGTGACATTGTTTAAGTTTGAATAAAATTTTAAAAAAGTACAGTTATTTCTTATTATTTTTATTTAAAACGTTTAAGTTTTACCATAAGAACTCCTTATCCATTTTACCCCATAGTATACCCACTTTACCCCGCACCCTAGGGTAAAATGGGTATACCATGGGGGAAAATGGGTATAAGTCCTATCTCAAAAATTGAAAAATAAGAATATTCTCTCTAAATTGATTTCAATTCTAAATAGCTTAAATGTAAAATATTTGAAATAAAAATTCAGTAAAATTAATTACAGTTCAACCAGTACAACTGCAAAAAAAAAAAACTCAATTTTATACCCATTTTACCCCTGTTAACCCTAAGTCTGACAAAGTTGTTTCATTCTGAAGTGTTAAAAAGTAAGAGTTACGACCGTCATTCTACATATAGTTAATTTTTAAATACTAAATTATATAATAGTATTTCACATTTCTGTAAAGTTTCAAGTCATTTCCATTTTTGGTTCATTTTTAATGGCTTAAAGAGTTTCAAATGTTACGACCGCTGTATTTATATATATATATATATATATATATATATATATATATATATATATATATATATATATATATATATATATATATTTATATATATATTTATATATATATATATGTATATATATATATATGTATATATATATATATATACATATATATATATATATATATATATATATATATATATATATATATATATATATATATATATATATATATATATATATATATATATATATATATATATATATATATATATATATATATATATATATATATATATATATATATATATATATATATATAAGAAAAGTATAAGAAAATGTGTTTGTTATACAATTTTTGATTTTTTACTTACACAAGTATTAATTTGCGTGCATAAAAATTAATTGCTCAAAACTTTTTTTTTATTTGTTATAAATGTTTATGATTTTTTTAACTTACAAAATATCAGTTTAATTATAGAACTTATATTTCTAGAATATTATTTTCAGTAATTAATAACATTTTTGATAAAAAAAAGTCATTAAAAACTTTGTTCATCGAACATTATGGCACCCAAAGGTAAATATTTAAATACTACTAAACGAAAACTTGTTATAGATTTTATTCAAAGATGTTAATTTTATTGAAAAATTACTTTGTACAATTTAATTCTGTTCTCACTTTATATATTAAAATTCTTTAGACGAGCATTGTCTTTGTGTTTTCACACTAGCTATCCATTTATTTATTAACAACATTACTTATTGGATAAAAAAATTTGACAAAGAGCTATAAAATCGTTTTATATTTTCTTATTGTCATAAAATGCAGGCATTTGAAGAAGTGTTACAACTATTAAAAAATTCCACAATAAAATATATTAAGTAATTATTATATAAAGTATATAATTTATACATAAAATAAAGTTTTTATGCAACAATTTAGAGTGTAATAATTTTATTTTTTATCAGTTAACTAATCTTATATTTTATCAATATAATTTAGAGTGAAATCATTTTATATTTATGAAAATCTAATTTGCATTTAAATCTACGCTCTTTTTTAATTTTTTTATTTTTTCATAAAAATGACTTTTTGTTTTTTATTTTAGTTACAATGATAGTTATACTTTTGAGAGAAAAAAATTTAACTTTTGTGAGAGCTTTAAATTGCTCCCATAAACTGTTTTAGGGGAGTGTGGGCAAGAGCAAGAGTAGCGTTCTCGTTTCCCGCTGAGGCCTGTCGCTGAGGCCTGTATATATACAAACACAATGAAATTGAACACCTTTTAATTATTAATTAAATAAAAACTGTTTAACAGATTTTTTTAATTTTATGACACCATAAAGTTAGTTGAATTATTTATATCAATAATTTTTAAAGTTTTTATTAAATAGATGTAGTATATGATGAGGGTGCTGAGAATGAAGAGCGTTAATGAGGGTGAAGGTATTGAAAGTGAAGATGCTGAATTTATGATGAGGGTGCTAAGAGTGAAGACTGCTTATGATGGTGAAGATGCTGAGGGTGAAGGTGCTGAATTTCATTGTGTTCATCTGATAAATACCAACATTGATGAAATATATTTGTCAGATTAAAGATTCTTTATTTAACCTTATGATTGTGATCAAATCAATGATTATAATCAATTAACAATTTAGGGTTTGTTGTCAACAGTTAAAATTTTTGTTTTGGATGAAGCAGATTATATCCTTGGAAATAAGTTTGTTGAAGATATTGAAGAAATTAATCATATTTTGCCACCAATCAATAAAAGACAAACAGTTTTGTTTTGTGCCTCAATCCCCGGCAAATTCGAGAAAGCTGTTTATGGATCAAAATCAATTATACACAAATTTATTAAATCAGATTTTAAAGAAGTTTTTAAAGAGTTTCTCAAAAAAGAATATATTTTTGTTTGTGTAGGCAGAATTGGTGGAACACTTAATTTTATTGCTCAGTCTTTTTTTAAAGTCGAGCCTGATACAACAAAATTAAAAATACTTACAGATATTTTAAAAGATGAATCAAAGGATAATAAAAAGACAATTGTGTTTTTGGAAACCAAAGAAGATGCAGCTGCAATGGCTATGTTTTTATGTAGTTGTGGTTTTCAAGTGACAGTCTTTCACAAGTAATTTAAATAAAAAAATTTAAAAAATAAAATTAAAAAAATTTTAGTTTTTGTTTTACTAGTAGTAAGTTTTTTATTTCTGATTTTACTTTTGGTTTTTTAAATTTTTTTTGTTTGTTTTTATGTTAAATTTCATTAGCTGTTTAAATTTATCTATTCAGAGATCGATGTCAAAAAGATAGAGAATATGCATTACATCAATTTAACACTGGTGTCAAAACAATAATGATATGCACAAGTGTGTCTGCAAGAGGTCTTGATATTGTTGAAGTCAAAACTGTTATCAATTATGACTTGTCTTCTGATATATCAACTTATCTATACAGAATTGGACGAACAGGAAGAGCTGGTCATGCTGGAAAAGCCATTTCTTTTTTCGTTAAAGGGCGTGATGAAGGTATTGCAAGAGGATTAGTAAAAAATCTATCAATGGTACAATTATTTTAATATTTTGTTCTTTTATTAATTTTTTTTTCTTTTTAAAAAAAGCAACATAAATGATGTAGGTTAATCATTTAAATTGCTTTTAATACTGTTTCATTTTTCTAATGTTAAAACTAATGTTGATAATATTATTTGACCGATTAAATTTTTTTTTTAAGTACCAGTTACATATTTTTAGAAAGACAGTTAAAATAGTAAGACTTATTATTAATAATAAAAACAATTTCAACTTTTAATTATTAATAAAAATACCTTTTAATTAAAAATAAAAATAGGCCGTGATGATGGCATTGCAAGAGGATTAGTATAAAAACTATCAATGGTATAATAGCTTTATTATTTTATTCTCTGGATATATATTTTTTTCTTTTTTAAGAAAAGTAACACTAATGACGTAAGTTAATCATTTAAATTGCTTTTAATACTGTGTTCTACTTCTAATGTTAAATGTAATTAATTGTAGCAGTTATCAATTGAGCAACTAAATATTTTTAGAAAGACAGTTAAAATTGTAACACTGTTATTAAAAATATAATTAATTTCAATTTTTAATTAAAAACTTTTAAATAAAAATATCAAAAAGTTGATAAAATATAATAATAGTGTAAAACCGAACACTTACAATAGTTTGTAATAGAAAAGTAGAATTAATCTGTTTTCTATAGAAAATACTTTTGGAAAAACTTATTGTAAAATTACATGCTATAAATATAATCTATTCTAGCAATATCTTAACATGTACGCATACTATAGGTTATAGATGGATTCAGTGTTTATTAAATATGTACATGATATTAGAAAATGGTGTTATATGGTATTATGAAGTGCCATTATTATGCTATAAAAAGGTTTTTAGCTCATATGTGTAGTTTTATAACACAAAATTATATGACCGCTGTTCAGTGAAAAAGCTGCTGGTATTTGCAGAAAAAACCAGCATAAAATTTGTGAAAGATTATCTTAATTGGACGGTTAATGACTAGTCAAACGTTATTTTCTCTGATGAATCACAATTCATGCTTTTGACTAGTGTTGGTATTAGGAATGTCAGACCTTCAATAGAAGACAGACTAAATCCAAAATATTAGTTACCTATTGTTAAACATGGAGAAAGAAATGGTTTGTGTAGTGGTAGAGTGCTCGCTTCATAAGAGAGTGGTTCTAATTTTGATCCCCATCACGTCCCTGGTTGAATGCGCTCAACTTGTTTCTCTGTGCAGCGGTCTTGTTTATCAAGGTTTGTGTTTTGTAGTTATAGAATTGAGAAAGGGTTATAACCACAAATAGGTAGCCTCCTCGTCTGTAGTAATTTTTGATAATGTAGGACCCAATCATTGCATAAAAAATTTATTTAGAGTTTATTTAGACATCATGAAGACATCATGAAGAAGACATCATTATTAACACATCATGAAGAATGTTATGCTGCTACATTCAAAGCATAAAATAACTTGCATATAGATCTTACAACAATATAATGATCCAAAGCATTGTGCTAGATCTGTAAAGAAATATTTAAATCACAAAAATCAGAGTTCTTGAATGGCTTTTAAAGAACCCAGATCTCTATCTTATTGAGCATTTTCGGGATTACATCAATCAACAATTGGTATGAAACCAACTAACAAAAGGCATTTATTTACTTTGATTAAAAAATGTTGGTACAACATTCCTCAGTATGTTCTCATTAGTTTTGTTGATTTGATACCTCACTGTTGTGATGCTGTTTTGCAAATGAATATGCCACCTACAAAGTAGCTGGGCCATTCCCCATCTAACAACTAACGTTCAAGAAACATTGTTACAACGTTCATTTTGGCTTGCGTAATGTTTGTTGTAAATGTTAGACAAACCAACTTTTAATGGTTCATGTAAACCAACTCCATTTTACAGTTTTTGAATGTTCAACACAAATGTTCAAATAACAAACAGCAAGCGTTTACTTATTGTTCTTTGCAAACGTTATTTTGATAGCTCTTAAACGTTCACCTCAAACACGCAATAACAAACTCGGAAATTTACTCAATGTGTTTCTTTTTTTTTTAATTAAACGTATACATCTATAGATTTAGATATACTTTCTATTACAGTAATCTTGAATATTATAAAATATCTCGAAATTTTATTCTGACTTTCTGTTTAAACTTACATTTGCTAGTTTTTGTGTAAAATGAAATTTTTTTTTGAACTTATATTTACTTATGTAACAATTGTTGAATAATTACATAAGTAAAAATTTATATGTATATAAATTATATGTATATACAAATTCACAATGTTTTACAATTGAATTACACTGTATCAAGCTGATTTAATTATTACATTTTAACCATAAGGCAGTTATAAGACATTTGGCTCGGCTGATTACAATTAACAAAAATTCATAAAAATAATACTTCTTGCAATGAAAAAGTCCATTTATTATCACAATTTAGTGCTTTAAAGATCACCAACAACAATTTACATCAATTTAAGTTAAATCTGCTTACTAAAAAATATCAATAAAATAAAAAATAATGTGTTTTCAGTAAAAATAATGTAATGTCAGTAAAATGTAAAGCGTTTACCACTAAAAAGATAAAAAATATACATGTTTTATTTATGTCTTTTTTAAAATAACACAATTTACAATACTTCATCAAAAATAAAAATTTTTATCACAAATTTAAATTTTTTTATTAAAAAAATAAAAGCTCTTTTATGAATGACTTAAATGTATCATTTATAAAAGATGCAAACTGTTGTAAACTGTCAGTTCTATATTAAATGGTTTTATACATGAACTACTAAAATAGGCACATCAAAAGATTATACTAAGTACAATAAATGAACATATTAAAAATTAATACTCTAGTATGATTCGTAAAATGCAGGAAACTGTTTCCTCTTTATTTTCCTATTTATTTAAAGGAATTATTTATTTAATTTCTTTGAATAAATAGCCCATCTATATTCAGAGCAATTTAGTCAAATGAATTGTCTAATTGTTTTATATACGTCTTCAAGTCGACCTAGTAGTTGTAACAAATTATTATTTTATCTAGATAAACATATTGTATGCCAGATTTGTAATCAATCACTGAATGATATTAAATTCTTAAATAGATTAAAAAAGAAACTCTTTTTCTGAGTTGCACTAACTTGAAAACAGAAGTTGCTTGACATCTACCTGACCATTGGTACAACATAAATTGTTTTTTAAAACAAATTTAGTGTCATTGTGGCTTTGATTGTTGCTTTGTTGCAGTTGTTGCTGAAGATGTCACTTAGCAGCCATCTACTCTGGTCTGTATATCTGACAATGCATATTGTTCTGCTTCATTTTAACTAATTTCAAGTATGGTAATACAACATATTTCATCTAAAACAGCACTAAAGTTTTTAACATAACAATGTATTAAATACAACAAGTGTAACCTCTACATGTAAATATAAACATAATATATAAACAATAAATAAACTATATATAAACAAAAAAAAAATTAATAATTTGTTCATATTTGTCAGTAGAATCTGACTTAATAATTTGTATTTGTCAGAGTCAACTAGTCATCAAGTACAAATAATAGTCATGTTTAAATTATGTATAATATCTATATAAATTCTATACATATTTAACATGTATACAATTTAAATACTTTAGTAGTATTTAGTAGTATAATATATACTACTAAATACTACTAAATATTGGAAAATAAATATATATATTGAGTTTGTACAAATAAACTGTTACTTAAGTACTTATTCTCTGCGCAGCAGCCTTGTTTGTCAAGGTTCGTGTTTTGGAGTTAAAGAGTTGAGAAAGGGTTGTACCACGATTTACAACAACAACAACAACAACAACAACAACAAATGAGTAGCCTCCTCAACTGTAGTGGCCCCCTCGGGCCTTGGGGAGATGAATAGTTAAAAATAAAAAAAAAAATTATTAAATAATACATTATCATAAATAAACATAAATATTTATTATGAATTATCATAAAATTCTTTTGCTTTTTACAAAAAATGTAGGCTCTATTGGTATTGTCTTAAGACATTCATTTTGTTTTTTTTTTCTTTTCTAGAAATAAAACATATTTTAAAGAAAGCAGGGTGTGTTCTGAATTTAGTTCATAGATATGTAAAATTCAGTGGACACTCAAGCAAGATATAGACTTTGTAAAGTTGATATAGCATTAAGCAACATGGGCTAAAGATTCATGTAAAGAATAGTACTCATGAAAAGATGGGTTAAGAACTAAAAAAATTTTTTGTTACAAAAACTAAAGATTCAGTGAATTATCCATTGAAATATGCATCTATTGAAATATTCAAAGACACTCAATTAAGTAATTCAGCAGGTGCAATAGAAATTTCCTTGTACACAATCTTAAACAACAATTTTATTTATCAGAGATTTGATGGATACACAAGCATGTTGTTTGTGGATACAGTGATAGCTCTGTTACCAATAGTGTTATTACATTTCAGCCTTTGTTTCCAGACAGCAAGATTGCATTTACGATGGAACTTGGCAAGGACATTATAAAATATATTGTTAACTATGGAATTGCACCTTACTTCAGAGAGCTTTTAAAAGTACATCAGTATAGATGTACTTTTAAAAGTAATTTGTGCATCAGTATGTTGTTATGAAAAAAATTTGAAAAAAATCATTCAATAATCTGAAATAGATTTAGTAGCAAAGAGGACAATTTTAGTAGCAAAGTTGAAATAGGATATTGGGATTCTATGTTTCTTGGACATGCCACTGCAACAGACTTACTTAAAAGAATAAATGATGGTTTTTCTGGTTTGGATTTATCTAAACAAGTAAAATTATCAATAGATGGTCTTAATGTGAACTGGAAGGTTTTCAGGGAAATACAATTGGAATGAGAAGAAGCTGGTCTAAGTAAACTTTTAAATATTGGCAATTGTAACATCCACATCATTCATGGGGCCTTCTTAACATCTACAGAAAACCAAAAGTGGGGCTAAAAGCTATCATGAATAGATTTTTCAATTTTTTAACAATTCTCCTGCTAGATGTGAAGATTTTATTTTTATTACAGATTTTACAATCTTACCCCTGCAGTTTTGTCCAAAAAGGTTTGTGAATGTCTTTAAACTATCTGACTTTTTTATTATGTCTCTAAGTCTTTAAAATCCATAATAATAAGAGAACACCGTTTCAATTAATTTTTCAAAAACACTTTTATTTATATTTTAGTCTTATAAATGTCATTCATAGTATTTTTATTATTATAAATGGTCAAGGATCATCAGTTAGCATCACAACTCAAAGAGATATAACCAAATATAATAAAGATAATTGATTTTTGGCAGAACCCACCAGCTTTTAAAAAGCCATCTTCAAAGAGTTATTTAACTGTAAAAGAAGCAGTTATAGATAAACTACTTGTAGTAAAGCTTTTATTTTTCTGCTATATTGCAATAGTTTTGCAGCCATATCTTTAAAACCATCAAACAGATAATCCAATGTTGCCTTTTCTGGACAAAGATCTGGAGATATTGCATAGATCTCTAATGCAGTTGGTTGTTAAAACTGATGTTCTCCATAAATTTGACTCTATTGTTGACTTGTTAGAGCTTGATCTTTCTGATAATGGTATTTATCTTTGGATAAAAGATATACTTTTTGCATTTGCAACTGATGAAGAACTTGGGATTTATTACGTAAAGATAAAGTCAAATCTGCAGATGTAACAAAAGTTTAAAAAGGAAGCTGCAAATATAGTAATTGTTATATTGAAGAAAATTACTCAAAAAAGTTCATTACATCATTACATGATAAGAAATGCAAACGTATTTGGTCCAAGTTCAATATCCTCTATACAACTGGTCAAATTACGAAGCAAGATGAAACGACTCTTGGTTATTAATGTGTCTTTAACAGATAAAGTTTTGCCACAATATTCAGATCTGTTGGCAGTGCTATCTCAAGATTCTGAAAAGGGAAAGGTGTTTCCTTTTTCAGAATCTTGAGATAGCACTGAAGAGATGAGCTCTTTTTTCATAAATCTTCTATCAAAATACCAAAGGAATTAAAATATATTCTAAGAATGATTCTAGTTACTAGTCATGGTCAAGCAAGTGTAGAGAGAGTATTTTATATTATAAGGTTGTATCCAAATTTGATTTAAAAAAAATATCATTGATATCAAAAAATATGATAGTTGATCATATGCAAAAGAACAACCTTTAACAATAGAGCTAACAAACAAATTCATAAAGTCTGTTAAAGGTATACTCTATTCATAAATGTTAAAGGTATATTCTATCGCATATTCTATATGCGAGTGTCAATGCAACTCAATTTTTTTCTGTAAACTATTTATAATTATTAAAAAACTATTTATATAGACTCAGAGAAAAAGGTTAGTTTTTTTAATTGAGTCAGAGGAAACAAGTGCTCGATGTAGTTAAGGCACTTTTAAAAATATTATAGCGTCTGTATGATATTTTGTCGACTACGACATATTTCCGTTAAATAATCTGGTCTGTTAATTATGAAAAGGTAAAATAATAAATTTTGTGGTGTCATAAAATATGAATATTTTTAGCGAAAAAACCCAGACCGTGGAATCTTTTTTTTTAAAAAAAATCATCTTAAAATTACAATCGCTTGTCCAAATTTAAATAATATTTTATATTAATACGTTTTTTTAGGTAAAATGAGCATTATAATTTAACAATATGATCTGTTCTGATCGTTTATTGGAAATTTTCCATATTTATAAGCTCTTTCTTGGTCGGAATTCCAATATTTTTTGTGAAAATTGATAAAAAATATTGTGTTTTGACAACTATATATAGTTAATAAACGTCAGAACCAATTAGAACTAGGATCCATAGTAAATTAAAGAACTTTTTTAAAAGATTTTAACTAAATTCATGTTAATGCCGATAAGCAGAATTGATCTAAAGACTCCAAAGTAGTGTTCTTTAGATACATTATTACGGGTAGTAAAAAGATTTTGAAAATTATATTAGAAAAAGAAAAGTTTCTTTAAATATTATAAAAACCTTAAGCAAAAAAAATTATAGCATTTGTAGATCTTGTTTGGGTATAATATGCTGACAAAACCATGCTAATTCCAAATAAAAGTATTCAAATATTTTGTAAATCGCCCTAACTACACCGCGTGGGTTTTAAGGAAAAAAGTCAGGGAAATTACCTATATTTTTCAGTTAGGCCAGGAAAATCTTTGATTAAGAACTGGTATAAACCCTGTATTAGCAATTAAGCCCTCAGTTCATTAGGCTTTTAAGCATTTAATGAACAAGCCCAGAAACGTAGTTAGCTGAGTTGCGAAGTAGGTTTGGAAGTAAGGAAACTTAACTGAGCTGATTTAGTTTTGTGAGGGGGCGTTGTTCTTTTGGTGTTTGTGGTCCTGATATTTAATTAGTTATTGGTAGCAGCACTGGTTGTTCTTGTTGAGGCAATGAACTGTTGTTTTGCAGCTTCGATTGTTTCTCGAACAATTTCATTAAAAACAGGAAATTTTCCTTTAATTAAAGATTGTGGTACAATAGACAGAAGGTTAGATGACAAAGTTAAGAATCTAAAAAAGAAACATTTGAGAGTGTTACATCCAGATGGTAAGAAGGAAATAGTTTGTTTTATCAGAAACAAAAACAGAGCTCACCAGGGACTCTCTAAGAAAGATGTGAAGTTATTTTGGATGTGCTGAAAATTAGAGATCATTTGAATAAATATGTAAAAGGTGGAAATAAGTTTATTACCAAGTGCAAAAACAGCCCTACAAAGTAAAAGGTAATTTTTTTGTTTCAACTAATTTATCAACCTCCTAACAGGTACAAGGGTACAGTAGATATTAAATAGATTTAAAATACTGAACCTTATTATCCAAATTATTTAGACTAAGGAAATCATTTTTGAGAAGAATGGCACGCTGAACATGATGATATTGTCATTAAGAGGCAAGACTGAGTTAAAATGAAGCCCTAAATTTTACGTAGTACAATTCAGGGTTCTGATCTTTTTAACTCACTTGAAAACAAATGAGAAAACACTTGAAATTGAAATTGAAAATAGTTCTTTTTATATTCAGGCTAAACTAAAAAAACAGTATGTGATAAAAATTGTGTACCTAGATGATCTGTAGCCATCTCCCTAGTTACTAGGGAGATGGCAATTTCATTCTCAAGTGTTCTACAACTCGGTTTTTATTCTTGAATAAGTTTATATGTTTTGAATGTTGATAATTTATGTAACTTGATTTTATTATTAATTTTACAACTTTTTCCCTTAGTTTTTTGATGTCTTAGCTGACGAACTGATTGCTTGTAATATAATGAAGAACTAAAAAAAACAAAAAATGGTGTATGGGTTGATGATGTTTTAACAGAAAGAGTTTTCAATCATGATGAAACATCACAGTTTGTCAACTACGGTGTACATGGTACTGCCACTGGGTGAGTTTATGCTGGCAAATGAAAGACATGTAAAAAAATAACTCACGAAAACAAAGAGAGCTATAAACCCATTTGTTTCATTATCAGTTGAGCCAACTAAATAACTTTTCAAAACTAAAGTTGTGGCTTTTATAGTTTTATATTTTTAAAAAGTGAAATATAATATTGATACTTTTAGGAGAGGTTTCATTGTGTCAGGTAATATTTGAAAAGACATAACGAACCAGTTGGCACCACAAAAAGGCGTCAGTACGATCAAAAATTTGATGGTACTGACAGCTTTTATGTCTTGCAAAATCTTAAAAGGAGTGATCGCAAATGTCATTCCATTCTTAAATCAGTATGTACTGAAATGGCTTTTCGGACTGATAACAAGAAGCCGACAATGATTCTTCTTGCATCTGCAGCATCATCCTCTGATTCTTTAAAAAAATATATATATATTGGTTCTGATTCAAATATTTCAAACCTTAATGACTCAGAGATGATTTTTTAGATGAAAAGTTTGTTTATCGCATGTCTCTTTTTCAGAACTTATATTTTATGGTATTAAAAATATACTATTGGTATTCAAAATATAATTATTATGTTAAAAAATATATATAAATATATATATATATATATATATATATATATATATATATATATATATATATATATATATATATATATATATATATATATATATATATATTAATTCAATCATTGTTTAATAAGTTCATTGATATTAGTGGAACCCAGAGCTGAAAGTTTACACCTGTAGTGTTTAAGGGGGTATGTGGTTTTAAGGGGAATCTACCTTTATCTTATATATATATTCATTTTTTATTTAGCTGTATATTTTTAGTCTGATCAGGATGTTCCTGAGTGGCTTGATGATATTGCAAAAACTGCGCATGGAACAAATCGTGGACCTCGAGGAGGAAAGTATGCCGCAAAAGACACAAGATATAATGTACAGCTATATATATATATATATATATATATATATATATATATATATATATATATATATATATATATATATATATATATATATATATATATATATATATATATATATATATATATATATATATATATATATATGTTTATTTCTAGTTATATATCTGATATAAATGTGTTTATTATTTATGCTTTTTTTTTTTCTTAGGTGTCTTCCAAAGTTTTTTACGCTGTATAAATACCGAATGGTTGTCAAATTCTCTGATTATTTAAATTTTGTTTTTCTTTTTTAAATGTTAACTATTCTTAACTCATAGCGTGGTAAAACATCGATACACAGTGAGCTATTTGATCGATTTAGATAGTCCATCGCCTACTATAATTACACGGCCTGATTTGTTGCATTTTCCGTAAAAAATTAAGAGGCCAGTTTTTTTACGGCTAACGTTTGAAAGCTTAAATTCTTCTGTTAGTATTGTGAAAGTTTTATACATATTTTATTAAAATTGGAAAAAATGACTCGGATTTTCTTGGTGTAGTTACATTATGTTATACTGGATTTTTCGCTAACTGATTGCCTGCTTCAGTTTATTCCAGTAAAACAGAATACTGAAATAGGCTTTCAGATAGCTATATATAAACATGGTACTTAAAATAACATTACATGTTGCAAAGACCATCTACAAATCTTTAGTGGAAATAAAATCAAAGGTTTGTTATATTGTTTTTATTATAATTGAATCAAACAGTATAAAAGAAATAGCTTTTTATTAGGAATTATTATTGGTTCTCTGTCTTTTTTTAAATTGTTTCACCTGATCTTTTCTTACTGAATCAGTTGTTTCTTTTTGCAAATTGTTATAAAAGATATTTATAACAATACGAGATCCATATTTTATACCCAACTCTTGGTGATTGTCACAAGTAAAATCAACACTGCTGTAATAATTTTTAAAAATTTGTTCTGCAAAACTTTTAATTGAAAAAGAATAACTGCAATTTTATTCTTTTTCAATTAAAATTTTTCAATGGAGATATGACATCTAAAATACTAAAAAGATGAAAAATATAATCAGACAGAGGTTGACTTGGACATATAAGTCCACCTCTGGATAATATTTTCAAGTATTCGTTATTAAGAATATCTTGGTCTGTAGATACCATTTTTTGATTACAAGTATGACATCCAAATTTTTTTTTCAACTTTTTTGCAACATACCCTGCTATTGTAACAGCAACTTCCATGCTATCTTCTGAAAGCTGACACTCTAAAATCTCTGTAGACAACAAATCAATTTCTTGCATAATATTTTCTAAACTAGAATTATCAAATGTCTGATAAATATTTTCTTCCCAGAAATTAATATCTTCCTTTAGAAGACTTCTTACTGCCAAAATTTTTTCACTATTGCATACTTCTAAAAGACTCACTAGAAATCTGCCACCACTCATTTGTCTATACTTACTAAAACGTAGCTCCAAAGGATCACTTTGTAACCTGGAAGTAAGAACATATGTATAGTCTTCTTCAAGCAAATCATCGATAAGAGATGCAGTTGCCCGTAATGTTGTAATAGGAGCAAGAGAAGTTTGTTTGGAAAATGTAAAATAATCACATTTTGACCAAATATCAATCCAACTTGCAATTTCTCTATAAAATGTGGGCTTGTTATCACCCTTCACGGCAGCATTGCCAAGTTGATTGGATGTATTAAATTTCTGCTTTGAATTAAGTGTGATGAACAACTTATGAAACAATGATAAAAATTGTGCTGCATCATTTCTTTCAGGAAAATAACTTAGTATTGCAGCTGTAGTTGTTTCATCAAATATTGCCAATGCAAGGTTGACATCTTGTTTGTTATTTCCAGGATGAGTGATCTGATAATTGACTTTTTTCGCTTTTTTTAAGTTGCCGTTTAATAACTGATCTTTTTCATAGATATTATGAAATAAACTCCATGCTATGTAACCAGCAGGTTTCAACTTTGTCTTTAAACAAATCAAATGAAAAAGAAGGAAAAACATATTTTTTTGCATTAAACAAGTTATTTCTAACATTTTTTATTAAATGGATTATATCGAACAACAAGTATGTTTTTAATACTCCATTGTAAACTGGATGACATATAAATAACTTTCCATCTCTATTATATGCTTTATGAAACTCTGAAAATGCATTAACATTGGTAGAATGATTATCTGCAACAACAGGTCTTACTTTAAATCCAGATTGGTGCAATGAGATTTCATTCATCAATTTATTTTTTTAACCGTGAACCTGTTATATACACTTCAGGTGATGATCTCACAACATAAGGAATAGATTTTTGAAGCCCAACAATCATAAAAACAACAATACCTTTATAAAGATTACTTTCTGAATCTTCACCAACATATTTCCCACTTTGATATTGGGCTGCTTTTTGCAAATACATTTCATACACAAGAAGCACACAGTCACTTGATACACAATTTTTTTGTAATAAAACTTTTATAGCCTTAAATGCATTTATATCACCACTTTGAATTTTTCTTAATAAACTAAAAGATGGTAAGGGTAATTGTTCTAACAACTTATATGACTGTGCTGAAGTGTGACGTAAAATTAATGCATAACGTATAACGGAAGCAGAATATGGAGGTCTGCCTTGTGGAGAATAGTATCTTATTTCATTTAGCTCTGTCAAAATTGAATTAAAAGCATTAGCTTTATTTCGAATATGGGCAGGAAAATTTTCAATCATACTACAGTTTGTTAATTTGCAATTATGACCACTGCGAAACCATTCAGGTAAAGAAATATGATATCCTTTATACGACAATGAAACATTAAGATCTTTATTAACTGTTATTGACTCAAACACAGTTGGTATACCTGATATTTCATCAAAACAACACTATCGTGAAGTTTCTTAAATGTAAATCCTGGTGGGCAATGCTGTTCTTTTAACGAATTAAGACTAATTATTTTATCAATATTTTGAAAATCACTGAACTCATCTTTTCCCAAGTATCTTAAAGTTGGTTCTTTTCTAGGCAACTTTGGCACACTTAAAGTTGATGAACTACTTTTTTTATCTGTGTGAATAGTTGGAACAGGTTGGAGATCCCATTTCATGGTGCATCTTTTCCTATATTTAATAAATTTATCCTCGAAATGATCAATAGAAATAGCAGAGTATTTAGATGGAAGCCAATCTTTTCTATTGACAAAATATATCCATCGTTCTCGCAAACTGCTTTCTTCAGGAAAATGAAATGTAGACTTTTTTGGATCAGTAGAGTAACCAGTTTTACAGTTTGTGACAACACATTTGTTAACCATTTTTATAGCTAAAAAAAATTTTAAAAACTACAATAATATTGAGATTTCTTACATTTATAATTGAAGTTATCTCCACTTGAATAACATTGCATAAAAAAAAGCAGTTCGACTGTATAAAATATACCAAGTAGACTGTCTGTAAGTCTATTTTATTATTCCACTCTCTAATGGATTATAATGAAACAGACAATCAGTCAGAATATAATCAGAAATATATACTACATGAATATGAAAATATAAACCAAACTTTGATATAATAATTGTAATAATCACATTATTTTAATTAGTAAATATTGTTAGTTGTCTTATAATAGAAAATAAGCCGTAAAAAACTGGCCTCTTAATTTTTTACGGAAAATGCAACAAATCAGGCCGTGTAATTATAGTAGGCCATGGATAGTCAAAACTATATTTTGTACTTTCATTTAATAAATGTAAGTTTCTAAGGAGAGGCATGCAGGGAAAAAAAATTAAAATAAAAAGGACTTAATAAGATATATGGGTGATACCCATCCCACCTTCGTGCTCTTTGTCCCTTTCATATAGCGCTAATGTATATATATATATATATATATATATATATATGATAAGAATAAACCTATACGTAGTGAAAAACTGCGCTATTCTTTCAAAAATTAGCTCATTACTACCTTACAAATTTTAACTTACAAATTCAGCCTAGGTTATTTCAATTTAACTGCAAGTTTTTCATTATTAATTAAATAATAGAGAGAACAATAATAGGGGTAAACAAGTTAAAATAAATAATATATTTAAAAGTATTTAAAAGATATTTAAAAGTATATTTTGTATATAAAGCTAATCCGAAAGAATTATGTTTTTAATTTTGCATAAAGATTTAAAAGTTTTTGAAATTCCAACTAAGCGTACTTCAACATAGATATTCTGATAAAGCTCGTTGAATACTTGAATCACACAAACCTAAAGGGGTTGTCCATTAATTACGTCAACAAAATAAGGGGGAGGGGGTCTGAACTTTTTTGATAATTAATAACAAGGGGGAGGGGGAGGTCAATTAAAGTTGATGTCAACAATTTTTTTTTTGAATTTCATTGCTTAAATAATGGAAAATTTTGAGCGTAGCTTCTTTGTATTGGGGGGGGGGGGGGTTAATCAAAAATTGACGTAATTTTATAGGAGGGGTCTCCTATAAAATTACGTCTCCCCTCTTGCCAAATTTGACAAGTTGTTGACAAGGGGGAGGTAAAAATTTCAAAAAATTTGTTAACTTATTAATGGACAGCTCCAAATAAGAGAAATAAAGGTTTTTTTCAAACTTTGGAGTTTAAATCAAAGTTAAATAAAAAACCAACTCTCTTCCACTCGATGTACCTCCAATCGATGAACTGAATATAACTGACAAAAAAAAAGTACTACGAGTATACTCGTACTTTGTTAATGGAGAAGAAATTTTTTTCTCCAGTGCCGAAGTAGAGTTTACTCGTAACACCGTAATGAGTATAACTCATTGCGGTGACTAGTAAGTATCTCTTAAAAATATAAATATACAAGTTAAACAAAATGCTATAATATAAATTTATAAGAACTCAGATTCTTGCTTCTAGAGCATCCATCTTAAAATCAACTCTGATTTCAAAATCATTTTTGTTAAAAACCATTTGCTTTAATATTTAAACGCGCTTGGTTTTTTTTTATTTGCTGTATGGAAATAAAAATTCTTATTATCAAGGCGTATGAGGTGTGGTTCGGATTGAACATTTATGAACAATCTTTTAATCGATGTGGTGAACAAATTTCTTATGTTATCATGACAACTTGAAATGAAGCCACCTTTTTTTACACGACAATGCATGAGTTACAATGAAAGTTTATCCACATTCACTAATACGAGGGATATTTTTAAAGTCAAAATTATAACGTAACCAAAATGCATCTCGAAATTCTTCTTTGTTTAAAAAAAACCTTCGTTTTCTAGCCGAAAGACGTTTACCCAGGTGCTTGCACATTCGCCTCTTGTTTGCGGTATGTTTCTTAACATATAATCTGGTTGTATTGAATCAACTGCAATTATTTGCTCTTTGCGATGCTTAAGTCTGTCAGTAGATAATATTTTTTCTATCTTCTAGAACATTCCTGATAAAGTTTTTTGTTTTTAAAATTGCATCTTGATCTATAATTTGCTGTACAAGTTTTTTAGTTCATTTCACAGATGATAAACGCTGGTGAGACGTTTCTTCAACTAGTATAGGTATACCCAATCCTCCATCTCGAAGAGTTAATGTAAAAAGTTTTCTAATGTGATCCTCAAAGGGCGTATCTTTTCCAAAAGAGTTAGCAACAACAAATGACTAAGTATTTCGTCTACGGGCGCTAGAAATTGTTTAAATTTTGGAATAGTTCTTAAAAAATATGTAAATTTTGAACGATATTGTAAACGCAAAGTTGTTTTAACTCGGTTAATTATTGTGCTACTTTCTTAGTGCAATACTTGTCCTTAAAATTTTGCGAACCAATTACTGAACCCAAATGTCGTTAACCCTCTGTAGTTATGTTAACCGATTTACCAAATACTATGCCTGCATTCTCTGCTAATGAGGAGGATTTTACAACTAACCAGCATTTAGATTGGTTTACATAGTAGCTATGTTTAAATCCTTCATCAATAAGGTGTTGAAAGAAATGGTACAAGAATCAAACATAGTTTGATTCTTGTACCAAGATGCAAGTAGACAGACAACATTCTTGGCAGTATCCTAATCAATTAAGTTAGAAAACAGTTTCCATTAATTAAGGCTGTCAAAAGCTTTGATGAAATCTATAAAACATGTGAATACATGGCTTCCTCTAAAAATATAGTATTTAAGTGTCTTTTTTAAATAATATGTACAAGACATTCTCATGAGATTCAACTCTTTATATGTTTAAGAATTTTAAAGCAAGCAGGAGATATTGTGATTACTCTGTAATTATTTACATCTGTTAAGTCTCCAATTTTAGATTTTCCTAGAAGTATTATCGTGGCTTCACAAAATTTATATGGCAAATCTAAATACAGCAAGCGTAAACTAACAAAATACTTAGAGAGAAAATTTATGTCCTCCATACATAAACGATTCCATAAACAAGTCATATACGGTCAATGTTGGTTAGATTTTAAATTGTTATAAAATCATAGCCGTCCAAAAAAGTATGAATAATAAAATAGACACATCCGAGATAAAAAATAAACTTCGAGTGAAAATGTTTTACTTTGCATACTGAACTCAAACATTTTAATGAAAAGTCCCTAACTAAGAATACGTTTCGCTAGCTTGGTTTATAATGAAACGTGTTGGTTTTTTCATTAAATTGTAGAATTAGAATTATATTATCGAAATTGCAATGAGTGTAATCTAATAATGTTCAAATAAACTATTTAAAGTTGATTTATAACCGAATTATTCATATATAACAGCAGAAAACAATCAAAGCATCTTTAGTTAAAATTAGGTGTCCTTACTCAAAAAGAAATGCAAAACTTAAATGTTAAAACTTAACATTAACTACAAGGGAATTTTATAAACATATTAGTTCATTAACTACAAGGGAATTTTTGCATAGTTGTTGTTAATAACAACTATGCAAAAATTGTTTCTCTTTCTCAAATTAACCAAAGTTTTGCATTTCTTTTTGAATTTTATATACCTTAAATTTTGTTACCTTAAACAATTGTATAAGGTAACAAAATTTAAGATATATAAAATTTGGCCATGTAATAAGATATTTTGAAACTAATTTTTTTTCACGAAAAACAAAATAAAACCATGTTAAAAACATATATCGTTAATCGACTGATATGATTTTTTACCAAGAATCGTTTAAACTAGTTAGAATATGAGTCACATTTTTCAATATTTTTGGTGTATAGTTAATTCCCGGTAAGTCATACACCGTTATATATAGTTAATTTCCGGTAAGCCATACACCGTTAACTCGAGCTTTTGTTATCTCAAGCTGTTTTTTATGGGTTCTTAAAATCATCGCATTGATTACTATTTAATTTCTCCGGTTAAATCGAACTACCAATAACTCGAACTTGCGGACAAAAAAAGTTAAACCATTTTTTTGTCCGCTTTTAGCAAATTTCTTCGGTTAACTTAAACCTTTTGCATGGTAAACTAAGAACTCAAAATAATAATTTTCCAGGGGTCATTCTATGTAAAACATAAAGAAAATTAGCCTAATATTTTCTACATTTTTTTCGTTCTATTTATTCCTTATTATCAATTAGATTATATCGTCTGATAGCGATAATATCAGTTAGATATTATAGTTATCAGACGTAAAATAATGCTATAATCAAACTGTAACAAAATAAATCATACCAAAATAGCTATAAAAAAAGCAATTATGTTATAGTAAATTTTTTAATAAAAATAGCTAGCTTTTAGACGCAACCAATTAATTACCAATAAATAATAAGTCAATGTTATAATGTTGGAAAATGTTATGAAAAAAACAATTATCTTTTAAATTTACATCGTGAATGCAATACGTAACTTTATTCACTGAAACATTTTTCACTATTTTGTTAATTTAATGGTGTATATTTTATGTTTATACTTTATCATTAAATAAAGCAACTTTGCGTTAATCCGAACCAAAGTCTCGTATCAGCGAAAGTTTGACTCAACGTGCTGTCGCTTTAGACGGTTATTTGTTTTGTTTTTTTTTGGATTTTTCTTGGCATTTTGGAGGTTCGAGTTATCAGAAATTAACTATACGTTACAAATAAAAGATTCTTTTGGTGTTTCTTCAATTGGCGTTTGTTAAGTTTTTATCTTCTTCACGCAAGCTTCTGAAGTTTTCATAACATACTTCTAAATTTCTTTCTACAATTGTTTATTTAGAAAACTACAGCTAATAATTAGTTTTTCGTTGAATCCACTATTGTATTTTATCAATAGATTTTTTTAAGGTTTTTTATTTTATTTTTTTTTAATTTATTGAATAAAGAATCTTTTTCTTTTTTTTTTTTTGTGGCAATGTGGTACAAAATGCAAATATACTTTGACTACCTGGATCCGTCACTGGTTGTAAACTTTTGATATTATAATATCAAAGACTAAAAGAGATGCTGCAGCATCTCTTTTAGTCTATACTTAGATATTTCGTTGCACCAAGCTTCGTAAACATTGGACCTTTTTTTCTTGTTTGGGGAAAGAAAATAGAACAGTGTTTATTAGAGAAATGTCTATTTAAAGAGTTGGGGTCTATTAATTCCATTAATTCTCTAACTGTTAAATCTTCCTATTTTTCCATACCCCAATTATTTGTTTTTCAGTATAAACTTTAAAATTTATTGGGAAAACTATAAATAAACTTCAAATCGTTCGTAGAGCGACAACGTTGCAGCGCAGACAAGCTTTGTGTCGACGAAAAAATTTGACACCTTTTACTTCCGCCAAGGATTTATTTTCATACATTTATTAGTTGTAAGAGCTACAAAACGACTATAAATGATAATATTTATAGCTGAGATATTGTGTAACTAAATCATTTTTACAAATTTGTACGTATCTTGCTATTATTTTGCAGAATATTTTTTAAAAAAGCCCTCGAGTTAATTAATCTCTCTAGTAATCTAGCAATACGAATTTAATAAAATATTTTAATAAAAATCATTCATAATAAAAAAATTTGTACTTAAATACTTTTTAGCATTAAAAGTTACCAATGCGTTAAAGTCTCATCAACTGCCGAATATTATTTGCTTTACACCCAAAAAACCGACGCTAATAATTTAAATATATAATTTTTGAGTTTTAAAAACATAATTTTTGAAAACATTATTATTTAGTTAGAGCTGTTAAAATAACTGAATAACCGAAATTAAATAAATGTAGTTATAGTTTTAGTAATGTTTTACGCCTATTCGATTATTAAATTCAGATTTTTTATACATTTTTTCCAACAAGACAGCATGCCACATACAAAAATATCAAATTAAACGACTAAGGCAAACAACTTTAAGGCCCATTTTTTTATATAAAATTTTTAAAGCATTAAAGCATTAGAGGACTTTTTTAAGGAATTGACAATTGTGCCCCCTACTTCGAAAACATTTTAAACAAATTTTTAATTGAATAACACGAATATTGTTATGCTATCTTATTGCTATCAATTCTTTCAAAAAAGTTTATCTTAGAACAAAACAAATATTTTTATAAAAAAGAAAGATGTACACAAGAAATATAGTACTTAACGTGCAATCGTATAAATTTTGCCAAAAATGTTGGTTCTCAAACGATGAATTTAAAATGATATATCAATAAATCTTTAAAAAGAATCAAGTAATAATTATAAAGTAACACAAGTATTCGAAGTACGATCGTACCAGTTTTACCAAAAAGATTGATTCTTTGTTGTACCAACGACTTCAAAAGAAATGTCAATAAACCTTTTAAAAAAGTCAGAATTTTTGGAATCCAATCTTTAAAAAACATATGTAGAAGTATCTTCAGTCATTCATTATTAGCAGGTGAAAAATCGCATTCAAGAATTATTGTTGATATCTAAGAAAAAATAGTATAACCCTTGAAAAAACAAATTAAAAATTGCGGCTGTAAATAAAACAAAAAAAAAAACAATTAAATTTATAACTAAGAATAATGTTGAAATAATAATGTAACTCAAGTTTTGTAATATTTTAGGGTTGTTATGTAAACTTATTAGGCATTTATGTAATGATAATGTAACTTAAGTTAACTTTTAGTTTACTTGGAGCGATTGTTAGTCTGCTAAAATTTTCAATTACACCGTTAGCGTGGCTTTGATTAAATCAAACTTAAAAATCAAGCTTGGCCTCAGTCTTATTTTTATCACTCTATATTTTTTTCCATTAACAACGCATTGAGATATTAAAGGTCTTTGCTAGATACTTTTTTCTTTTTGATTTAAATTTAATCTTATCTTTACTTGAAGTTTTGTTTTTTTATGGAGTTATTTTATAAACTCTTTTATAAGCCACTTAAGAAAAATATTTTACTTTAAGCTAAAAAATGTTGTTTACGTAATACGTTTTACGTAAAGTTCAAAAATCAGATTTATTAGAATATAGAAAAGGCAGAATGGATGGAGGTGGACTACCATTGACAGTTTACCCAGCAAATAAATACATACTTTATAAACAAAAAAAACGTTTAGTTTGAAATTTAGAAGTTATAATCTGCTAAAAAAAAAGTTGGATGATCTTGATGAATATTAACTGGTACCTTATACAGCCCTCGGAATTAGGAAATTAAAGATCGAAAATTGACACAAATTTGTAACAAAAAGGTTACCACAAAAAATACATACGAGGTCGGCAATTTTTTGTGAACCTTAAACACTTTTAGGTCGACAGTTAGTTCGGCATTGTCAAATGCCGACCCATAATTTCAAGGGATGCGTTTGTCAGCATTATATATCATTTCTTCTTAAGACTTTTATCCACGCATTATATAAACCGTCATAGATTTGATTTAAAATTAAGTCTTATATAAACAAATAAAACAAATTACAAATTTACTAATACATGAGCTATTACAACATCTGTTGCAGAAAAAAATAAATATTAATGAGACATTAATATTTATTTGTTTTTTAGTTTCACAATATAACTGTAAATATAACGAAAAATATTAAAATGTTACAAAAAAATTTAAATATTTTTATAGTAGAATTTTACAATAATTTTTTTTTTCACAAATAAATTCCATTGTACACCCATGTACACTATTACATTTATTGTAAACCCATGTACATGTAATAGTGTTGATATTCCTTTTAATAAATGTAAAAAAAAAAAAATATTGTAAATGAGCTAATTTATTTATTGTATTGAGAAATGAATGCAGCTAAATCAAAACAAAAAATAGAAAAAGGAACTCAAATACAGTATAAGCTCTTCAAACCGTTAATGACAAAACAATGTCATATGAAGAAGCTTCTAAATGTTCCAATGTGTCGAAATCAACTTTTCAGCATAAGCATAAGGCAAATACAAATCTGTTGGAGCTGGTGAGCACAAGAAGTAAGTCAAACTATCGAGGTAATTATTGTTGATCTTTAAAGTTTATGAGCGATATCGTGGTTTTGGTTTAAAGAGAAGTGATGTTATGATTGTTGTTGAAAACTATCAAAATGAATCAGAAGAAACTCATTTAAAGATGAGAAACCAACTAAAAAAAGGTACAGCGAATTCATGAAAAAATATAAAAAAAAAATTAGAGCAAGAAAAGCTAGTGGCATGCAAGCTATAATACCAGTAACTACTCAGCCGAAAATAATTGACGGCTGGTTTGACCAAATAAGCGCCATTTATCTTGAGCACAATCTCAATAATAAGGCTTTTCATATTTTTAATTAATGAGATGGATTATAATTCGACCAAGCAAAGTTAAAATTGTATGCAGAAAAAGAAATCTAAAAAAATTACCAGAAATCCAAAAAAATTAGCTCTAAACAACTACAAAAAAATGACTACTATTTTGACATGCTGTGATATTATATTATGTTGTGATATATTGTTTATTATTTGCCACATCAAGTAGTTTACAATGGAAAACATATTATGAAAAGCTAGTGCATAGGGGTAGCGCTGAAAATGTTTATTATAATAGCAGCAAACCAGGTTGGAGTCAAAACATTTTCTTGAGTGGTTCAATTCAGTTTTTTTGTCTCATGCAAATGAACTTGAAGGGTTTAAACTGCTCTTTCTTGATGGTCATGCCTAGCATATTATTATCAAAAAAAATATTATACTTAGGTACTTGTCTGCTCATACAAGCCATTTTTTAAAGCCTTCAGACGCAAGTATCTTTAAAACAATAAAAGGCAAATAAAAACAAAAAGTTGATAACTTTTTAACTAGAAATAAATTTCAATACTTAAAAAATAAACAATTTCCTGCCATTTTTAAGGAACTTATCAAAAAAAAATTTTTTAAACCTGAAAACGCTTGTAGTGGCTTCAGCAGTAAAAGGTTTACTTTTACTTGATCGATCAAATATTTCTTCTGAAAAAACTGCAATTGGTACAGGTTTTGAAGCTGTTGAAGCAGAGAACATTAACAATTTGTTTCCTATAACCAATACAGCTAAAACTCCTAAAACACCAATAAGTGGAATGTCAAAAAGTGTTTCTTAGAAGTTTAAAAACGATAAATGAAACAGCTAAAAAGGCAGGAAAAGATATCAACCAATCAGTTTTAATTTTGCTTAAAGATCAACTTACACCTTTAGATAATAGAAAAAGAAAGGGCAAAAAAAATTACACAGCCAGCCAATCATAACATGACCTTTTTCAATGATATAGTTTTTGGCGAGGCAAACAAGAATAATAAAAAAAACAAACTAGACAAACAAGCTACCAAAAAAATTGCTAGAGAGCAAAAAAAAATTGCTGCTGATCTCAAAAAGAGAAAAATGCAAAAAAAAGAAAAAAAAAGAAACAAAAGAAAACTTTTGACTAAGACTATTATAAATATTATTCCGATTGAATAATAATAAGCCTCATGTTATTCTTGTGGTGTTGATTGGGTTAGTAGCATAGATGCTCAATGGCATACATGCAAACAGTGTGCAGTGTGCTAGTTTGTCTTACATTACTTGTGTGATTGAATATTATCCTACTATGAAATTTATATGCTTGGAATGCTAATAGAATATTCTTTGTCATAATATTACTTAAAACAATTCATCTATGCTACCATCTGACAGAGAAATCATTCATCTATACTACCATCTGAAAGACATCATTCATCTAAACTATTATCTGACACAGTCATCATTCATCTATGCTACCATCTGACAGAGAAATCATTCATCTATGCTACCATCTGACAGAGACATCATTCATCTATACTATCATCTGACAGAGACATCATTCATCTTATAGAGATATCATTAATCTATACTATCATCTGACAGAGACATCAATTATCTATACTATCATCTGACACAGTCATCATTAAAAAAAAAGTGCTAGAGTTTTCTTAATTTTTTTTTTTAAAGTTTTAAAAATACTTTTTTATGGCCTATTTGACATCAATATTACAAAGATTGATATCTTTAACTAAACTTTTAACTTTATAATTCATTTTGAGCAAAAAAACTTTTAAACTCATTAAGCTGCTGCCACACTAAACTTTTATCTAAACATTTTATCTACTGGGTAATTTGGAAATCTTGACAATGTCAAGATTTCCAAATTACCCAGTTAAATGTGGAAAGTTTTCAAGTTAAATGTGTAAAAACTTCTTTAAATACTTTTCTGATTGAACATTTAATTTTGAGAAACTTTTAAGTTGACCCATCAACAGTTAACTGTTCCATCCTGCTCTGTATTCAAGGATAAATAAAACCTCTTTTCAGTGATAAATTTTCAATGTTAATCAATTTCAGAATAACCAAATGAACAGAATCTGCTAAATATATAGTGTTTGGTATAAGTTATTGTGCTATGGTACATGGATGTGAAATAGGTATTATTAAAAAATTTTTGTTTAAAAGGGTCTTTTGGTCTGCTCTCCTTGTTTTAAGTATAACTCTTGAAAATATTTCACAGATAACAAACAACTTACCTAGAACCCTATTTTTTCTATTTACAAATTTCAATCATGTGGCTTTTAAAATCTTTATTGACAAGAAATAAAATATAAACTATCTTGTCTAATTTACTAAACAGCAAGCAGTGCAAGATTTGTTAATTTGTTCTCAATTATACATTTTTTAGTTTATAGTATTGTTACTATTATTCAAAACATTTTAATTCAAAATCATATGTACTTTGGTACAAAAGATCAATTGTGTAACTTTAACACAAAAGTATGTAAATTAAATAGAAAAGGCCAATTGTATACTTTTAAAATGAAAGACTGTGTAACATAAACCATTGTTATTTAATAAATTTTTTTTTTTTGATCACAAAAATTATTATAAAAATGTAAGTTATGCTTAAATTTATATCAAATTTTTACCAATTAGCAAAAACAATTTAAAAAATACCATCCGAGCTTTAACATCCAATAATAAACAAATTAAAGTTTAACCTAACCAAATAGTTAACATTATGAATGATCACTTTAAATCAGTATTAACCAGGGAGAATACCAATAATTTACCAATTGTCATACCCTTGTGAGGCAATAATAGATAATAGATAATATAATAACTGTGAAATTAATTTAAAAAAAAAATTCTTCAGTTAAATGAATATAAATCACAGACCAGACACGGTTAAATCAATAGAACTAAAACAATGTGCCTTTTTTTTACTTTTTTTTTATAATATGATTTTATAACGCTTGCTTTAATTTTTAAAAAATCACTCAAAACTGGAAGAGTACCAAATAAATGGAAATTGGCAGACATAACTCCAATATTCAAAAAAGGGAACAGGTTAATTTCTACCAACTTCAGTTTTATTAACCTCAATAGTCTCTAAAGTACTTGAAAGTATTATATCCAACAAAATATATGAACATATGTCAAATAATGGTTTATTAAATAAACATCAACATGGATTTGTAGAGAGAAAATCTTGTTTAACAAATCTAATTGAAAGAATAGATCTTTTGAATAAATCACTAGCAGAAAACATTCCATTAGATGTTTGTTATCTTGACTTTACTAAAAAATTCGACACGGTTCCTCATAAACGATTATTAATCAAAATTAAGTCATTTGGAATATCAAATGTCATTTGTAACTGGAATAGCAACTTTTTATTTAATCATCACCAAAGAGTGATACAATGATGCATCAAACTGGGAACTGATAACAAGCGGTGTTTCCCAAGGATCGGTAATTTATCCAATCTTGTTCATTTTATATATAAACGATTTACCAGAGATTCTAGAACACGCTAAGCTCTTTGCAGATGACACCAAGTTAATCAGGAAAGTAGCTAGCTCTGAGAATTGTCAATTGCTTCAGAATGAAATAATTCAAGCCTGTGAATGGTCAGAGATCTGGCAAATTACAATTTAATAGTGAAAAATGTTGTGTTATGCATTTTGGAAAAAATAACCTTCGCTATATTTATAAACTAGGCGATAAAATATTAGCAGTCTCTGATACCGAAAAAGATTTTGGAATTACAATGTCATCACATCTCAAATGGAAAAGTCACATAACTAATTGTACATCAAAAGCTTATTCAACGCTTGGAATGTTAAAAAAGATTTTTCATTACATCAAATAAAAAAGATACTATACGTAACATTTATAAGACCCCATCTTGAATTTGCAATACAGCATGGTACCCATACATTAAAAGGGATATTATTGCACTTGAAAAAGTTCAATGTTACGCCAATAAATGGATACCCCATATTCGGAAACAAAGTTACAAAACAAGAATTAAAATACTTGGCTTAATCACACTGGAAAAAAGACGTAAGAGGCGACTGAATTCAAATGTACAAATTATTTAAAAAAACAAATGTTGTAGAACTAGATTGTAATATTTTTGCCTCCTATCAGCCCAACACAAGGGGCCATAACTTCAAAATCAGAAGAGAAATAGTTAAAAACTGCAATATTCATCATCAATTTTTAACTAATAGAGTCTCATCAATGTGGAGCAAACAACCAGATTTTATCATCAAGTGAAAGCTTAAACATTGATAAATTTGCATTGATAAATATCTAGAGCTACATGATTTGTAATTTTTAATTTAATTAATTACCTAGAATAATTACACAATGTATATGCTGTCAAAGTTAAATTAATTACCATTAATTTCACTCGTAATTTTTGAATTACTACAGCTTTCTATTATATTATTATATTAGTTTATTAATCAAAGTATTATATTATTATATTAATCATACTTATATTATTATTATATTAATCAAACAATTATTAGATTTTGCAACTATTGGCCTAATTTTGAAATGCATAAATTAACGAAACAAACCTCTTTCCTGGAATCTTTTGAAGCAAATTTTCCAACCCTTGATCCATAAGCTGTTCCAGTTGCATTTTCTGCAATGCATTCAAGCCACTCAGGAACTTCTTGTTCCGACTAAATAGAAATAACTGTCAAAATAATCTTATTTATTTGATTTTTTAAATTGCATAGATTTCAAAGTTTGTATATAAAAAAAAAAAAAATATATATATATATATATATATATATATATATATATATATATATATATATATATATATATATATATATATATATATATATATATATATATATATATATATATATATATATAAAGAAAACATTTTTTGCCAATAACTTTTACTTATTTTCAAATTTCGTGGCTCATTTAAAGGCTCTCATTATTATCATTTGCGCAGAATTCCTACATTAGTATTTAATTATTAGTGATAACAGAAGCCTAAATTTTTAAAAATATATATATAGGAAATTGAATTTGGAAAAATAAAACAGGAAAAAGCTGTAATTAAGGTTAAAAATATTTTATAAAAAAACCTAATTTTCAATCCAACATGCACAACTACAGCGTAAAGAAAAATTAAAAATTGTTAAAAAGTTTGAAAAAGATGTAACTAATGAAAAAAGAGAATGGTTCTACTAAGAACCAGAGATTTCTATTTTCATCAAATGTCAATAAATGGTAGAGCCCCGCAATTAAAAATATAATATGATCATTCACAATCACTAAAGTCATTTTTTTTGTGTTAAGAAAAAAAAAACGAAAAAATGTTTTTTCACTTACATCACAATGAAACAAAAAAAAAGCTATTTTCTAATTTATAAAGATATAGATAATTTTTTATATAACAGTATAAAATATAACTGTATATAAAATATATAAAATATATTTCATATAACTGTCTAAACAATACATTTTAAACATTAACTTAAAACCCCCTAAAAATGACTTTTTGCAATTGTGAAATGATTTTTTTATTCTAAATCCAAGTCAAAATGGTAGCTGCAGAGAATAAGGAGAATAAAAAATTATCAAGATAATTTTTCAAAAAGTTAATTGAATGTAAGCAAATCCTAAATCATGGAAAAAAGTTTTGGTGTTGAGACTCTTCGAAATGCCAACATCAATAAAACCTATCGAAATATGAGGTGGTCTATATCAGGTTTTGAAACATAGAGGTTTGCTTTAAATTAATGAGAAAACCCAGAAAATTTGAATCTAAAAATCTTTTGTGGTTTATCAGATATGATCATTGAAAGTTTTTGATTTTTCCATTAAAATATTTCAGTTTTATTCATACTATAATAGCTCTATATTTTTAAAACTAAGTTTCAGAAAATCTTGCTTTTTTTTTTTTGTTATATACAACTATAGACTTACTTTTGTGAAACATTGACTTTTTTAATTTCAAATTTAATCCATAATTACTATAAAAATGTAAAAATCGTTCAAAAGTCTAATAAATTAATTTTTGATGGGTCAATTATACAAATTATACAAAAGCAATCTAAGACGGATGTTTATTTTTTTATTGTCTAAATATGTTAGGCTTTCTAATTTTTTGAAATTTGCTGATGAGATAGAATTCAGTAAGAAATTATAGAATCCTAAAAAGGCTCCAACTAAAACTGGAACTAAAACTTTTTTACCTTCACTTGAAACCAACAAAGAATAGAATCGACATTAAACAGTTTTTAACAATAATCTTGTTTTCAAATGATTTAAAGTTGATTACAGTGATTTCAGAAGAAAAAATTGTGGGTACTCATGGTGAAGTTGCTATCAGCACATTTAAATTAGTAAGAAATGCATTTAAAATGATAAATTTAGAGTTATTGATTTACTTTATTTTGTATTATATATATTATTACAAAATGTATTTATTAAAAAAGTGTTTCATAATCAGTACTATCAGATTTAAATTAAAATTAAATTAAATTTATCTCTTAAATTTTGTAAATCTTTTTTATAATTTCATTGATTATTTCATTGGTTATTAATCGTTTCATTTTATTGTGTGTGTTTGATTTTATGTCTTGTACATGAAGTGTTGAAAAAAACAAAGTGTTGAAATACTCATATAAAAACATTGAATTTATAAAACTTACCAAAATCAAAAAAATTTGTTTTTAGGAACTTTCAAATTTATTTATGTTTTAATTAGTTAATAAGTATTAATTAATTTAGCAGCGCTCCTTCTAATGCATAAGTGTTATAATAAAATTTAATTTTAGTTTTGGGAGTTTTAAAGTTGACTTTTTTGAAAGAACTTTTATACAAAGTGAGAATTTTAAAGTTTGCTAAGGCAAAAATAAATTTTTACATCTTTAGATTAGGTGCGAAGTTTTCAAAAAAAATCAAGAACTTGTGCACTTATAATGTAAAGTAAATTGCTTATGATGTTAAGTAAATCATATTCAAACGATGTAAAGTAAATTGTTTATGATGTTAAGCAAATCATATAAAATATCGAAAAACTTAACAAATAAATTTATTTTAAAAATGTCAACTAAAAATCATTGTTTTTTTGTTGTTTTTTTTTTAAATGTGACTCTTACTAAAAAATTTAGTTTGCTCAACTGATACCAAGAACATTACTTTTTAACATTATGAATGTTATACAACTTTAAATGTAAATTAATTAACTCATACCACTACTGTGTCTTTTCATAAAAAAGATCTAAAGAATAAATATTAAAATAATTATACCATTGATAAATTTTTTACTAATCCTCTTGCAATAGGATCATCACGATTTTCAACAAAAAATGATATTGATTTTCCAGCATGACCAGCTCTTCCTGTTCTCCCAATTCTATATAGATAAGTTGATATATCTTGAGGCAAGTCATAATTGATGACAGTTTTGACTTCAATAATATCAAGACCTCTTGCAGACACACTTGTGCATATCATTATTGGTTTGACACCAGTGTTAAATTGATGTAACGCCTCTTCTCTGTCTCTTTGACATCGGTCTCTAAACAAAATAACAATCATACCAGTAACAATTTTGCATAACAATTATCTTTAGAGCCTGTTGATCTATTAATTGAAATTTATTTATGAAATAAATTTATCTAAATATAAAAAAAATAAAACTACAAATATTGTAAAAATAATTTTATTTTATAACAATTAAAAAATGATTAACAAAATAAAACAGCAATTCAGATATTTAAGCATTAAGTTTATATGTTAAAGCGTGTTAATAAAAACGTTATTTACTTCTTACTAAATCACAAGATAGTAGACGTGTGTTCTGGCCTGACTTATCATCAAGTCATAGCAAACTGGCTATGAGATCGTATAAAAAATGACCTGAAAGTTGTCTAAAATAGCAAATCCTCTAAACTGCCCAGCATTAACAATTATGTGTAATGTACGAGTATTAAAGACTATTAATTTTTGATTCAGATTCTATAAGTGATGAAAAAATTTTTTATCTTAACTTTTTAATGAGAAAATTAATTTTTATAAATTATTTTGATCAAGACTGTCCAGAATGATAATGACTAATGGGGTTTTCGAAATATTTCAACAACCACCTAACTGGTTATTATAACTTTTTCCACCTTATTTAAAGCATTTATCTTGCTTTTAAATAATATAATAGTATTTTTGAAAAAAATGATTGTAAGCCAAAAAATGTATTTTTTTTTTTTATTTATTTACACTTTTGCCGATAAAAAAAATTTACAGTCGTAACTTATAAAAAAAAATAATTACATGACCGGGGCTAGAAGAAGACAAATTTAGTTTTATCATTAAACCCCAAGTAGAAATTAAGTATTCTTAAGTAGAAATAAGAAAATTCATTTTAAAAAAGTGCATTGTTCCTATTAATTTGCAAGTGGAAAAGTATAAAGTTCAAAAAAAAATAAATTAATAATATCATTAAATTAGGAAGCGAAGGTTGCTGATTTAAAAGAGGGTTGAGAAACAAAGAATGAGGTCTGTCAAATTTAAAACTTGAGCAAAAAAAAAAAAAAAAAATACAAAAAACATATTGGAAATATTTTTAAGTTGTTGGTATACAAATGCTACTTTTAAATTTAGAGTACAAATGACAATAAATTAGGGATTACATAACACTGGTTTACAGGTAAATAAATCAAAATAAATAAATTTATTATTTTATTATTAATTTGTCATTACTAAAATCAATAAAAAGTATTATAAAAACTTAAGAAACTGCAATCATCTTTTCAACAAGAAACTACACTTAAAACATAAAAATAAAGTAGAAACAAGTAGAAAATAGAAGTGCTGGTCAACAAATGGTCAAAAACAGCTAGAACTTCTGGCAGTACCTCAAATGGTCTATTCAAACAGTACAAAATTAATCTTTTAAAAAGAAGTAAATAAATTTAATTAAAATTTGTTTAAATTTCTTGTTGCTTTCTTTGTTTCTACAAAAACAACTTTTTCTATTTTTATTTGATTTTTTTTTTAACTAAAATATCGATAAGCATTTTTATCTTCTGTGTATCATTTTGAACTTTATTATCTTCTGTGTATCATTTTGAATCTTTGGTGTAACATTTTGAACTTTAACAAAAGACTGATCAATAAAACTGAATTCAAATAAATTTCATTATTACTTGTCTTTACTCTAGCAATATTTGCTTTCTTTTGTGTGAAGAAATAACTGGTTTTTTTGTGTGTACTTTTTAAGTAAAAACAAAAATAATAATACATAACTATTTTTTAAAATGTTATAAATAGCAGTCTCATATTTTTGTTCATTTTTTACGTATTTAACTTGGGAGACAAATACCACTTATTTTCACTTTTAGTTCTATTGTAATAAAATGTTCACTTTGGAAAAGAATTAATGTAAACATCATTTTTGTATATAATCTTTTGTCATCACATTGGGACAGTTTTTGTGTTTTCTATCTCAAGAATATTTTGTTGCAACTGTTTAAAAATACGTTCAACCCTTTTTCCATTCAAACTATATAACGCACAAAAAGCTATTTTACATATCTTCATTACTTCTTTCCCACATCCCCAGAGTTAGGCCAATGTCTTTTAACTGTTTTTATTTGAACTTTTTCTTCAACAAAAATCTTTTTTCTCTTATCACTATTATTATGTGCTGCAACGTCATATTATGTGATATTTTATCAAAACATAAAACATGATAAAATATCACTTCATCACATATTACATACTCTACAGTTGCAGAGATCTCTGGGTTTTTTCTTCTGCTTAACAATTTTTTTACTATTCTCAAACCTTAGAATAAAATCTTGGCACAGAAGACAGAAAATATTACTTACTTTAGACACAATGTTTTGTGGAAAAAATTTGGGTCATTAACCTAATTGTCAAATATACTCATGTCAATTGCAACAGATAATATATTACAAACCATTTTTCTGGTATAAATACTGTGTTTTGCAGTTGAAAAATATGATACTATACTATATTACCATACATGGCTGGAATAAATACTAAAAATATTTCAATTAAACTAGCATGTCCTTTAAACTCACGAAAAAACTTGAAAAACAAACAAGAACTCAAAATACTTCTGGTGCAAAAAGAGGTAACTTCGAAGTTATATAATTTTTGCACCAAATGATTTTAGGAAATAAGTATCATTCAGTCAAATCCTTAGTTGAATAAAATAAGAAGTGTTCTAATTTAAATTGTTTTTAAATCAATTTTTAAAGCATCTTGTAATTTGTGATACTCAGTTTAAATCTGAAAATCAAACAAAAGTGGTTTTACATTGTTTTTGCACCGAAGTCTTCAATTAAAAAAAGTTACAATCTATTAGTAAAAAAAAAGTGTTTCGGCCTATTTATATGTACTGTATGTGTTTATATGTACTTATATTGTATATATAACTATACCTTTTAAACTAATCAATTTAAAATCTCTATGTAATTGACCTAATATTATAAAAATCAGACAAAAGAATAGTTGATTTGAATTATTTTGATGAATGGGGAGCACTTAGTTGCTGGCATCAAATTCTGAAGTTTTTTTATTCTTTAAAAAAAAAAAAATTAACAAAATAATTTCTAAAAGAATAAAAATTTATTTAAAAAATGTCAACTAAAAACCATTGTTTTTTTGTTTTTTTTTTAATGTGACTCTTACTAAAAAATTTAGTTTGCTCAACTGATACCAAGAACATTACTTTTTAACATTAATTACTAATTTGTACAATAAAAGCAATTATAGAAGTCTAAATTTAGGTGTTATTTATTTGCTGTTATTTG